CCGAGTATATCTGTTTATTTGCGTTACACTTCAACTACACAAGTTTGAAGTCACCTGTATAAGTAGGTGAGGAGTAGTGACGGAACTATATACACTTCATTGGTTTGAGCAACATAAATGGTGTATTACAAATTACAGATACATTAATATGACGCTTCAACTGTTACTCCCATGGGCGCTCATATAGAAAAATTCAAGGGGTGTTTGATTGGCGGTTCCAAGATTTATGCTTTTGTTTCCGGTTGGTCTTGAGAGTATAATAAAATTTTACAAGATCAAACTGGCGAATTTCAATTAAAATTTTCATCCTTGAAATTCCTATTTCACAGGCTACAACTTAAACAACTTGGTAGATTTTGACATACGGGGTAAACTAAAATTTTATAAAATAAAAATGGTGGATTTCAAACGCAAACTCCAAATTTCAGATTTCTAATTCAAATGCTTGACGAATTTGGCAATTGTCCTCAGGCACAATTGATTCGTCAGTCTTTTCAGTTCCAGCAATCTAATTGTTAGTTTTTTTTTTAAATTTATATTTCTCTTTTTTATGGGCCAGAGCGTTTAGACGAGGGTGGGGGCGATTCATTCCCACAAATCAGATCTAGCAAGGTTGTTTTTGCGGAAGTTTTGGAATCCAAAAAACACACACGTCACTCGTTGCTCACGAAGCGGGTACCCTGTTAGGTATATTTTACTTCTCAAGTGGAAACCAGAGGGAGCGTATACCTCGATTACCTCCTCCCCCATAAACTTCATTTACTGTGTCTCTTAAATTTTGACGCCAGTACATTTCTTTTATGATTACAGTTATATTGGCATCAAAATTTAGAAAACGCAGTAAATAAAGTGCACTGCCTTTTACCAAGTACGGTAATCTCGGTATTTAAAATGGAATCTCAAACGTCTAGTTCAAGTGAAACTGAAAGGAGAAGAAAGTCAACGATCAAATGACAATGTTAACGTTCATCTCGATAGGAGTGTCTAATCGTTTTTAAATTAGGTCATTAGATTCTCGATTCGCGAACTACTTGGTTGCTTTTGCTAAATGTCGGTTTCTCTTCCCATTACACGTGTAAATGGTTCTTGCATTAACGCTAATTGCAGACCGTCTGTTCGTCATTGTTCTGCCAATAAAAGTACCCTTTTAATACATCTGTATTTTACCGCTACTGAAAGTGTAGCTTTCCCTTCGCCTTAAACTTGATCACTCAAGGAGCACAGTTTAAATTTCTTCAAGGATAATATTATCACACAGAATAGCGGTAGACTCTTTAAATAGTGATGGTATGACAAAGTTTGTCAACTTGGCCGTCTTTGGATTTTTCTGCCGCCTCCACAGGGACCAATTCCAACTAAATTACTTCGTTTTGAGCTCTTTGTCAAACCTTGTCATGAAGGCGAAATGTCTGAGCATGTACAGCACGAATGTCGAATGTATTCAGTCACAACAGACAACTGCCAGCTACTTCTCGATTAACTCTCGCAGTGGTCGCTTCTGGTAATAGATGGCACTTGTGTGCTCATATTTGGATAGACCTTATACCTCCGACAGAGGATTCACGATGCTGGTAATAAATGACACTTGTGCAAATTTCAGTGAGCCAAATCTATCAGCCCTTAAGCTACAGTACACGGGATTCCCCTAGGAGGTGAATTTCGTCTTCATTCACTCGCTTTCTTTATTCGCGTGTGCATATTCAGTCTGTTTAAAAAAAAATATCGAACAACTCTTATTCTATAGACCGACGTTTTTCAGGACCAACTATGAACCACTCGACCTCAGCTTACCGCAACAAAAAGAATGCGTGGTTGGACACTTTTATGTAAGGCTCCAAATTATTGCTAAGCTGTCCAAATTTTCTACTGTGTCGCTTAAAATGTCCAGAAGCGTCCTTTAGGGGCTTGTATCACCAAAGGGGAGCGCAAGAAGATATTTTTTCTTGTGAATTATTTTTTCTGCTCTATAGATATACGAGAGATTGAGATACAATCATTCTTGTATTCTGTCATTCTCTCAACATTGAGTTCTGCTAACATTAGGTAATGCTCCATTGTTTTGCAAGAAGGTACATGACCTAAGCCAAAGCAGTGTCTGCAACTAAATTACTTCGTTTTGAGCTCTTTGTCAAACCTTGTAATGAAGGCGAAATGTCTGAGCATGTACAGCACGAATGTCGAATGTATTCAGTCAAAAAAAGACAACTGCCAGCTACTTCTCGATTAACTCTCGCAGTGGTCTCTTCTGGTAATAGATGGCACTTGTGTGATCATATTTGGATAGACCTTATACCTCCGACAGAGGATTCATTGTCCTGCTTTCCTACCTTGAGACCAAGCTTAAGCTGTGATGATGATTGCCATTAAGCATGAAACAGCTGAAACCGTTGGCCCTCGGGTGGCCGGACTGTCGAGAACAGTATTATTAGTTTTACATGGTGAGTGGAATATCATCCACTATATCGCCAGAATCCAGATATTCACGTTGCTGGTAATAAATGACACTTGTGCAAATTTCAGTGCGCCAAATCTATCAGCCCTTAAGCTACAGTACACGGGATTCCCCTGGGACGTGAAACCGAATTTCGTCTATATTTCTTTATTTTCATGTGCATATTCAGTCTGTTCAAAAAAAAGATCGAACAACTCTTCTTCAATAGACCGATGTTTTTCAGGACCAACTATGAACCACTCGACCTCAGCTTACCACCTTTTGTCTGGAGGCATGGATGCCTTTCCTATTATTCCTCTTTGTCCAGATTAGCATCTCTTCATCCGCGCCAGCAAGTATTGACCATTTGGTTGTCAGCTTTTTAGTTTCAAGTCGCCGAGGCAACGAACTTTGTTATCTCATCTACTACTTTACACGATAGTTGAATATAATATATTGGAACAACATACTTTAGGTGTGACACAGTCTCATTAATGTTATCTGTTTATATATTTATTAGAATATGGGAAATGTTGATAATTTAACATTAAACACCGTGATTGTTTATCATTATATGTTTCAATCTACGTGTACCGTCTTTTGGTACTACAGTTAGCTTTGGAAAGTTGAATACATTTCTATCTAATCATTATGATATCTCATCTATGATGGGAACAAAAGCTTCTTCCTACAGTTCAGCGTATAATCTAACGCTATTTTATCTGAAATAGTTCAAGCAAATGTACCTATCACATCGCAATTAATTCCTTTTCAACTAAATTGTAGTTGTTTCTTAAGACAGCGGTATTTTATTTTGACTGATTCAGATGCTACATATAAACAAAATTCAAATATGTAATTCCAATGCAAAATTGACCACATGTGTCGCCTTGTTTCAAAGTACAAAAAGTAAACGCTCTTGAGCTTTCTATTCAACGCTTACAAGTTTGATTCATTCAGATGAGAGAATAATATTTGGAACAAATAATCACTGGAAAACGCAGCAAAGCAATCAGGACAAAATATTTTAAAACCTGAATGCTGGAGTTGATATTAGGTGATTTTGCTTCTTCAATATCAGCAATACGATAGTCGCATTCTTCAACGACTAAAAATATTTTGTTCACATTGCGTTTAATTTCTACAATAATTGCATTAAGATTGGCTTTAAATTAACTCAGTTACCTGTAAGCAATACAAAAGCATAACCACACATCATGTGCATAACCTTACATTTTTAACGTAGGAACCGCTTGCGCATCGTGCCCGCGCATCCTGTCACGTGACATCCGTTCGACCTCAGACACTCTTGACCAGTCTTTCACAGCGTCATTATAAGTTTTACGTCTCTGTCGATGTTGGTTGTGTGGTTATACTGGCGTTTTTGCAACCATGTCAATCAGTAAACTCGTCGATTCTAAAGTCCGCTCACTAATTTAGTTCTTAAACGCTAAAATGTTCCTCGTGTTGAAATCCACAATCAGTTGTTAACCTAGACGCGCTATTAAAAAACGCCGGCAGATCCTGCTCTCTTACGCCGTCGTTCTGCTTCACGACAACGCTCGGCCTCAAGAAAACAGACGCTACAGTTTCGTTGGGAATAACTGGACCACTCACATACAGCTCTGACGTAACACCATCAATTAATCATCATCAATATGGTGGAGGGCGCTTGGAAACTGATGACATGCTGGTTTAAATATTCATGGTGACTGAGATAAAAAAATGGAAAAATGTTCATACTTTATTTTGTGATACAATTTACATCCTTAAACAAGGCTTCTGTGACTGCATTACATAGAAAATAACCCTCGTATATACATATAACCTAAGAATTGTACCTAACATATATGAACATCGCGCGTGGTTTTCCTACAAAACTATTTTCGATGTTGGAACAACCTGAAGTGTTCTTTATTGAAAGAATGCGAAAGTTTAACTATTTTCTCTTATATCCAGGGTGCTAGTGTCTTGCTAGTTTTATTACTAGGCTCCGCACATGCAGGCTTCCTAGGCGGTGGGGGCCACGATGTCGGCGGAAACGACATTGGCCATAATGGAGGAGGTGACCTTGGAGGAGGCCACCAAGACCTCGGGGGCGGTCACCAAGACTTTGGGGGCGGTCATCAAGACCTGGGAGGCGCCCACGGGGGTGGATATGGGGGAGGATATGGAGGAGGATATGGCGGAGGTGGAGACTACGGAGGCGGTCACCAAGACTTTGGGGGCGATCACCAAGACCTAGGAGGCGGTCACCAAGACTTAGGAGGCGGACACGGCCTTGAAGGTTATGGAGGAGGTCACCAAGATATTGGAGGTCACCAGGAACTTGGAGGTGGTCAACATGACTTCGGAGGAGGTCACGATATTGGAGGTGGCTATGGAGGTGGTCATGGCGATATCGGTGGTGGATATGGGGATGGTGGACATGGCGGATGGCAGCCAAGTGTTGAAACCCAGCATCACCATATCCCCACGCATACCATTGAGCATACCAAGCCGGTGCCTGTCCAAGTCATCAAAAAGGTAAACTGATTCAAATAGCAACGCTCATATTTTGTCATAACACATTGAAAACGCTGTAGTTTTTTGTAATATTTTCTAACTGACTTTATCTACGATAAAATTGTCAGTATTAAACTCCGCGTTATTCAAAAGGACTGAAATGGACAAACTCGTCTTTCATGCACGGCTTTACAATCTAAATGTTTGTTACAATCTTTCCATTTATTTAGAATATACAAGTTTTAACCATCATTCGAAAAAAGTGACAATACTGCTTGAGCAAAAATATGTCCTAAAATGAAATACGGTGTGTTGAGGTTATAATTTCCAAATCAGACAGATCCAATAAATACAAGAATATTATAGCCCAGCCTGCACCAATGTCATAGAAAATGGATTATCCTAACCCGTATAGAACAGTCTACTGACTTTATTTGAAATAACTATTCATACAGGTCAGCACGATGTAAAGTACTTGTATGACAAAGAAAACATTCATTTCGTGTTAAAAAATGTTTATACATTTTCCAGGTCGGAGTTCCAGTACCGCACCCAGTAGGCGTCCCAGTACCCCATGTGGTCAAAGTAGGCGTACCTCAACCGTATGCAGTTCACGTGCCAGTACCACACCCCATAGCAGTACCAATATACAAGTTGGTACCTCAAGAGGTCGAAAAGAAAGTACCCATATCCGTAGAGAAGCTGGTGCCAGTATATGTGGAGAAGCCTTACCACATCGAGATCGAGAAACACCATCCAGTATACGTGAACAAGCCTTATCCAGTCCATGTGCCAGTATACAAACACGTGTATCATCATACGAAGAAACATGGCTGGAATTAGGTTAGGAAACGTATAAGGCTGATCCTCATTTGTACATAAGTCACTTCTCGTCTTCCCTTGCCCCTTCCTTCCCCAACCCATTATCTATCTTTCTTGTTATTGTTATTTTTGTTACTTATTTTTGTTAATAAATTAATATTTTTTTAATTGTCTTCTTTTTTCTCTAATGCCCGGTGGCACCGACTTATTATTCGCTTAACAAACATGACCTTTATGTTTAGGTCAACCTCAAATTAGATTCTGTTGCACAACAGTGTATCCATAGCATCTTTTTAAGGGGATCACGTGTGCAACTACAACAGAGTCTGATGAGCTGGTTACTTATCTACTAAAATCTGTCTTACTTTGACCTAGTTTTCGCATTGTATTTCAAAAATCAATCTTAATGTTAGTTGAAATATTTGACGACAGTGAACTCTATTCTATTTCATAACATTATCAATTATAAAGATATTTCAGTGTGTCGACAATTAGCTTTAGTGTAAACAGAGATGTTTTCGAAAGATTAGAAATCTTTGGAAAAATGTCCTGTTACCATGACTCAAAATATTTCGTTATACCATATTAGGGATTTTGATGACGAATTCCATACACAACAGAGGCTTTAAAAAATCCCCAAGCATTTGGGACTCAGAAATGCATATCATTGTGGATCAAACCATAAAAGCTCGTGAAGAAAACTAAAGGACAAAGTAAGCTCAGTAAATCCACTACTGATTACAATAAAGGTTATACTTCGCATGTTGGTAGGTCTATCAGCACTGGGTTTCAGTTACATATAAAATGAGTTATTTGTCAGTATCTGCTAGATGGCAAAATTTTGCTTTAGTAGAAGTCTCGTAGTTCGAGATTCCCAATATTTTTTGTTGAAAAACTGGCATACGTCATTTCTACAAAAATTAACTTTTTATTTTGAGACATATTTAAGTGTTTCATTCCAGTTAGCGACATTTTTCTTTAAAATGACGAAAAACACATAAAAATTGAAGAACCAATTAACTTTTTGGGCTAATTGGTACGGCGAGCTTATTTGATTGTTTTACACTACAAAGTGTCAAAGTCAGACGTGAGAATTGATTATATTTAAAATGTGAATAATGATACTAGCTAGGACGTGCATGTTTCAAAATAAACTTTATCCAAAAAGTTAATATTTGTAGAAATAGCCAGATAGTATCTAAACGCTGTCAACAAAAAATCAACGGATGGACATCTTTAAAACTATTAGGTTTACCAAAACAACATTCTGGACATGACATAATCTATTTGCAGGACGTCCCTTCATTAACTGGATATAGTCCAAGAAATACTTAACCTATTGCAGAGACCTGTAATATTTCACCAAAAACATTGAGAAGCGAATTCAGAAACATTTTTCGAGCGAATAAATAATATCCACAATATTCGGGATAATATTTCTGCATTCATTATTGTTTTAAGTTTTTTTGGCATAGATAGATACTTTCACAGCAGAACTAATCTCGTCCAATGATGTGCAATTTAGTCTCCACCCCAAAAGCAATCCCTTAGCATAATTTCACGGTCAGTGCTCAGCCAGCAGACCGGACAACGCACTAACTACAATCAGATCACGATCGCAAGAGATGTGAGAAAGTAAAAGTGCTTGCAGCATCTAGACACGAACGTTATAGTTCAGTGCGTTTCTAATTATAGAGTGCGTTGGATAAAAAATAATTTGCCATCATTCCATGCAGGAAGCTTAAATGTAACTATCAATACGTTGCAGGTGTTCCATGATCTTTCAGTTATATCCAGCTAAATGTGCAGTACTAAATGGAAACTTAACGCAACGTACGCAATTGTTAAAGTGTTTTAGTACCATAACATCAGCTCATCAGCAGACGTATACAGGAACAGCAGTGGCATGCGAAAAATATACTAAGCATAAAATACTATTTTATTAAAAAAACTATATACCACGTATTGCTTCAACATTTTTGGGATAGTGCCAAATAGAACGACATATGTCATAAGAGAATCGCTTACTTTTTGAAAAAGAATTGGGCTTCTTAGGTCTTTTACTGTGTTCAGCTCGACGGCATTTGCACAGCAGCATGCTCGGGATAAGATCATCTAGGAAAACTATGTGAATGCACTCGCGGAGTATCAGCGTAAATTAACATTTCATTTTTTCGAATCAACTTGTAAATATCCAGTTAGGATAACCTACACCATTGATTAGGATGTTCTACCTGATGAGAGCCGACCCAATGCTATATTCCTGAGTACAAATAATCATCTGAGATAAAATTGGATACCGTAGTATCATAGTTTGTGAGAATTAGTCACAGCTGTTTCTCTATTTATACACTTTAAAAAATTTGGTGTCAGATGGCGCTGTATCCATCTGTATGTTTGTATATCTTCATTCAGACAGCGCGCTAAGCGATTTAGGTTTTTTTGGAAATTAATAGCTCCACTATCTTATAGCGTTAGTATACATATGTGTGTTACTAATAAAAGTTGTTTATTGTTGCATGTGAGAAGGAAAATTTAGCTGAGTTACGGGACAGAATAATGGAGTAGCTTAATTTGTTGATAACGGAAGATTCGCACGTCTGATAACCCGATTATTTTTAAGATATCATGAAGAAGTAAGGCAGTTTGAACATTCGTTGTGGCTTTATTATTTATTCTTTTTATGTTTTTCTGATAACTACTAGTTTCCGGCTTGACGACGACTTCTGGGACGCCCTGTAAAGCTAGCTAAGCAAAAATTAACCCTATTATAGAAAAAAAATGTAATAACCCGTTATACCATAGAATTATATTCTTGAAGGTAAGTTAAATCTATCATCAAGAAAGCCGAAGGCGCAGAGTTAAATAGCAACACTTTTTGTATATCTTGATGAAGAGCCTCTTCAGTTACTCTTAGGAACATAAATCCTTTGTAAAACGGGTTATTACATTTTTTCTTACATTCTGGATATTCTGGTCTAATAATGCAATATGTATAGCTCTACTAGACTACTACGTGTTTGTGCTGCGCAGCTGATAATACGGTACCGTTACGAGTACATTAAAAGTAATAGTAACATCACCTCAAGCTATACTTCCAGCAAATCTGCGTTTCTCATAGCTGTTGCATTTTTATTCTTTGGCTGTCATTGCTACACGTAATCATTTGACTCATAACATTTAATATATTCCGTAAGCAGGCGAAATTAGCATGTTAATTCGTCCTTTCACAGACAAAACTCCGTAGTAAGGATATCTGTTTAGGCGTTTGCCACAGGATATCAGATTTTATCAAGTATGGGCCTGACATAATAGAAAAGATGCACATACACGGTGACTCAAAAAACAGTGACATAATTTCTAGAACGAAAAGTACATCTAAGAATAACATAAGTTATTATGGATGTAGGTCCTGAATTGCCCCATTACCGAAATACAGAATGTTGTGAATTTTTGGCTGATGAGACTAAATAGGGAAAAACATGTATCTTGTTTGAATAATGCTATGGAGAGATGGGACTGTCCTCCTGATACGCTACATGCAGTTTTCAACGTCAACTTCACTGACCTCTCTTCATTTTTATACGGATTTCACCTCAAATATTCAATTCAATTTTTCTCTGAGACGTTTGATCTGATAAGAATTTCCCAAATAAAATGTTATATATTACTCAAAATGAAATGGATATTTCAAAAAAGTCAGTGACGTGTAGAATAAACAGTAGAAAATAGTTTTTTCGCCTGTTCTTCCGCATTAGATTCCGACCTTGAGAATAAACCTAATAAGGTTCCCCATGCACCAAATCAATCGTTATGAAAAATCAAACGAAACAATACTTTTCATTTTTAAAAATATTCTAAAATTGCTTCTGTTTAGGGGTTGAGACGACCCCAAAATCTGACGACCAAAGTTCGGCACTCTTTCTGAAGTCTTAAGTTTTCCCTAATTGCGGATTATATTCCATGATTTATTTTAGATAAAAAATAAATCGCATGAAGTATGGTCGTCTGGAACAAACCCAAAGTGCCTCAAAAGGGGCAGAGTGGTGAAAAAAAGAGGTTTATAATTGTTAGAAGTTAATGCTTACCAAGCTTAGTCGTCCAGAACAAGCTCTAAGTGCCTCAAAGGGCATAAACGGGTGAAAATACAGGTGGTAACAGCCAGAAAAGCTGTAAGTTTAGAGTTTTCTCCGATTTTGAGATACTTTAAGTGAAATAATCCCGAAAATACAGAGGAAATTAAAATTTGGAAAAGTGGCAAATTTCAAAGTCA